ATTTATTGAATGCTTAATAACTCAAAATTGAGGCATGAAGAACACAGTGTATTGTTTGGTACTCAGTTTCCTATGGCATCTGAGAATGCAGCAGCTTGTTTTGTTTACAGTCTTGATGATACAGTAATGAAATATCAAAGACATAACCTGCTTTGCTGTTTCTGCTATGTGTGTTGTGCTAGAGCATGTGGCACGTTTTAGAAAAACAGAACAAAATTCCTATTGCACGTACAATCTTGTTTAAAATTTGCTGTGCTTGCTGTGAATATACTGCTCATGTTTGGATTTCCTTACGTGCCTTCATGGGCATGATCCTGTGTCAGTAACCAGGAAAGCAGAGAATACTCTGCATAGGTAGTGCCATGGTTTAGCTCTCTCCTTGGGCTGTGTCACTGAAGTCAGTGGGACAGAGTTGAGCTGCGTTGGGGGAGCTCTATAGGCTTCTAAATTCATCATATGGGTCCAGTCAACAGTACCAAATGATTTCCCAAGGGGTACTTTGACGTTTACAGCCATCCATGAAGTGTGAATTGACATATACTTGTCAACCTGGTTCTTAAAGTAGCCCATTAAGCATAGTTGCCAGACTTATTTGCACTAATACTTTTCTTGAAAAGTGTTTCACTTGACACCTGTCTGTCAAAAATTCACTGTTAAGTGTTGAGAGTAGGTGCTGTCCTCTGGGGAGGAAGTGGTAATTTCAACTGCTCACACAGCAAAATGTGTCAGGCTGGGTTATAAGTTATGATTCCTCTAACCAAGCAGCTCATCATCTTTGCTCATGATCTTGGTAAAGTTGGTGGTACTCTACTGAAAGATCATTAAAGGTTTGGGTGCTTTTTTTTGTTTGTTTTGCGGAACTTCCTTTCACATTCAGGATTGTGGCGTTATTCATATTAAGAATATTGCTCAGTGATTAAATCTAGGATGGATGAAGCAAGCCCTATTCTTAATTAAGATTCTTGGCGTCTCTATCAATCATGTTAAGAGTTTTTTTCATTGGGGTATTGGGGGTGGATTTTGTAAAGATAGAAAGCTGGCAGCAAGAGGAAAATTGGAATTAGATTTTGAGATTCACATCCTTGGCATGTTTTTTAAACAGTGTTTTCTTTTTATGGAAGTAAATAATTTTTCTGCAGCTCTTAATGTCAGTACATTATGTATCTCCATAAACACAAAGTATGTTTCATAGTCTCAGACCAAGAGCTTCTGTAGTTCCTTTGTTTGGACATCACAGACCAGAGAACTGTATTTTACTGCTCTAATGTCAATATATGCCTGGCCCATCAAGTACTAGAGGAGGCATTCAAAACCTGAAGTACAAGTACTTTTTTCTCTGGCAGTACGTGACAGGCCAAAGCTGATGAATAGTTGGGTGGCTCACATCGAAGAGAGTTTGTATCTGTGGTACATGCAGAGCACAGCGGGGAACCTCTTGTTGTATGCTTGCCATGTGACCTGTTGGAGATACTCTTATCATACTGTTTTGTTTCTGGGGAGGTTTCTATCTTTTGACTAAGGACAGATTTAGACATTGTTTTGTGATTTTTGCAAGAGACTAGTGCAGTAAACACTGCTTAACGTGTATGGAACTGTAGTTCTGCACTTACGTATCAAAAAACCCCCTGACTCAAACCGGATGAAGACTTGGAGGTTTTGCCTTGATTGCAGCATACGGTTTTCCCAATGACATTTATTGGGCTGTAAAACCATAGTCTGAATCTTTCAGGGTTTATGGCTGTTTATGTAGCTGAGGGAGGCTGGTTGTTTTTCCTTTCTTCCCAGATGTAGGCATTTGGAACACCCTAGGAATACAAAGTGTTTCTTTCATGCACAGTGTGTTATTTTTCAACCAGCTTTCCAGGGAACAGAGCAACACCGGGGTATGATGCATAGAATTCCCACCTGAAGGAAAATCAGCTCATCGGAGAAAGCTGCCCAATACATCAAAGTCCTTACTTGGAAGTATCTACTGTGTACTTATATTTGGGATGTAATGTATGCACCCTGTTGACATTCTGAGAATTGCTCTGCTGGATAATGCTTTTTTCTTAAATGTTGCACTGACAACATAAACTATGAGCTGTTAAAACTGATGATGCAGATATTAACTCATTGTGTTAAGTATCAGAGGATTATATAAGCATTACCAGAAGTACTTAAATGTTGAAGGCTGCATAAATCAACTGGATTATCAAACTAAAAGGGTGAAAGGCAAGGAGTGGGCTAGGAAGGCAGGAAGACAGCTGATGCAGAAGAGAATATGCCAGAGAGGCTAAAAAATTGTATGGCAAGATGTCACTCCGTGCTGAGCTGCTGGTAGTTCAGAAACAGCAAATGGAGTTTCAGTGTTCTGAGTTTATGAATTGTTACTGTGAAAGCATTGTTTTATTTTTGATAAATGTGAAATAAATGAGGGCTGAAGACACCACACTAGTGGAGTGTTGGTAGGTAAATGAATTGGGAATTAAGGCAATCAAATTCTCTTCATCAAGTTCCCACAGACTTACAATTTCTCTTGAGTATGTTGATTACTCAGGTGTTAATTGTGTCTGTATTGGATATACGTAGTAGGAAAGGTGGCAGTGGGGATCTGCAAGAGGGATCCTCAAAACACTTCCTGCTCCAAGTTAATAAGTGTGAGCTGTGGGAACAGGGAAGATTTTGCTGGAGGAGCCATTCCTGACCTCTCTTTTTCTTCCCAAGATCTAATTTCAGAGAAATGTGAGCAACATGAGATGCATCTGACAAAACAGAGAAGGATAAACTGAAACGATGTCCTCCAGAGTAGTATTGACACAACAGAAGGCTTGTGTCCAGGCCCTAGTTCAGTACACAAAATAATCAGAGGCCTGATAAGGTCTTTGTGAACACTGTCATTTTTGAGCCAAATGACACACAGCTTCAGCTTCTGTGTACCTAGTACTATGAACAACTTGTGACTTTATTCAACAGTCAAAGCATAAGTGGTTTACGAGGGATGGAGGCAAAGCGCACTCTTGTAGTATCTGTCACTTTGGATGTGTGGGTTGTCCCGAGTTTAGTTTTTCCCCCACCTTTCAGCAGGGAAGAGGAAGAAGCAAGAACTTAAAGGAGAACTCATTGAAGCATGCTACTAAATCATATTGCCAGTCTCGGTGAAAACAGTTTCTTCTGTTGGATGCCTTTGTATCTGAAAAGCATAGTATTTGGGATCATGTACTTGGACAGAATTTTGCAGAACATGAAAACTGTGGTGAGGAAGTTGTATTCCCTGGCCATGTGGTCTAAGGTGTCCTTTTGAATATAAAGAACCTTAATTTTTGTGGTTTTACAGCCAGGGTGGCCAGGCTGTTAGTGCAAGTGCAGCGGATTCAGGGTTTTGGCATAGAATGGTTACTGTTTGATATAATACATACTGTTTCAGCAAGCAAAATAAGCTGTACTGGGTAAAGCATTTATAAACTAGTATGTATCTACAGCTTGGATTTTTCTGCCATTCTTGGCTTACCGTTTTCCTTGGGTTTAAAAAAAGATTCTCCTAGTAAAATAGTTCATGTATAAATGAGGCTTTAGAAAACATGCACTACTACCTTTATTAATGTCCTTTTATGGATCTCTGTTTCCAAATTAGTGCATGCAAACTTCTTATGAGTCTAGCAAGCAACGCTTCTTTTGTCCACAAGACAAAGGGTAGGATTTTTATTTTTCTTAATTCATCTCCCTTTCATGGAAAACTACTTAAATTACAGTTTCACATGAACATCAAAGAGAGTGATGTTGCTGACTTGTGTTTTCTAAGGAAAATCACAAACACAGGTTTTTGAGGGAATCACATGCTTTGACACTTGTGTAAACAAAGAAAATATTTCCTAGTCAATAGATTCAGTTGTAGTAAATGCCCTTGGAAAAAAACGGAAATCTTTAGTTAAGTCTTCCTAAATCCCAATGTGTTTGATTAATAAAATTTAATCTGTAGTGCCTTTTAGCCAACTGCAATGTTATGCTTAACTGTGAAGTTGACAGAAGGGACATTCAATTACCAAAGAGGAACAGCAGCAGGGAGAGAAATGGTTTGACCAGTCACTTTCCAGATCACCGATTAAAAATAAAATTAGGATTCATACACTTTATATTCTTGGCCCAGTGTGCTTTTTCTGAGGCTCAGTCTGAGTACAGAAAGATGAGTATATGCCTATTATAGGATCATTAATTTCTTCTTTATAGATATATTTATATGTGTGTGTCTATATATACATACATACACACACATGTATGTGTGGGTATACAGTATTTTATTTTTTCCCTTCTGTTATCAGAGTATAAGAATTCCATTCTTTAGTCATGTTGTGTTTTCCCACCCTCCTTCTCATCATAGAATCATAGAATCCTTGCAGCTTCCTCCCCCTTGCCCCCCCAAAAATAGTTGATATCTGTTGTTTTTAAGAGGGCCTAGTTACTAACCTAGTGTAGTTTTGATATTTGCTACTTCTGTAGACAGCTGTTTTAATTTTAAGTACTGAATGGTGAAGAATTATATTGCTGTGTTTTGAATCTATAGTGTCCTAATCCCCAGTGACTTGTTCTCATCAGCCAGCTTCCTGCTTCCCATAAGAAAAATCCATCAAAGGGTATGTCTGGTTTAGGACAACAACCTCTGAAACAGGGATGCCTCTGAAGTTTTTACAGGCAGAATTCCAAGTCCTGGCAGAACATGGGACCAGCAGATGGTCAGTCAGGGATTTTTTGTTAGTGCTGGGTATCGTCTTCATGTTTACCAATCTCATCACTACACATGATCATTATAACAGTTTCTCAACCTTCTCTCCCCTCCCCCAGGGCTTGGGAACAGTCCCCCTTGCCTAATGCCAAAACTGCCCTGCGTCCTAATAATTTGTTGACGGCGCAGAGCAAGTGGAGACAAGTCTTCAGGTTTTATTTGTATGCCATGCTGTGATTTGACACAACTGTGCAGCTATGTTTTCTTGACTCTGCCTTGTGTTTAAATTGTATTTTACAGATGCGGAGGAACAGTTGGTGCCATCTTTACTTGTCCCTTGGAGGTAATAAAGACTAGGCTGCAATCTTCAAAGTTAGCTTTCCGGGCTGTCTACTACCCACAAGTCCAGCTGGGGACCATCAGTGGTGAAGGAATGGTCAGGCCAACATCTGTATCACCTGGGCTCTTCAGTGTTCTCAAGTGAGTACTGCTCCTCCTGTCATTCAGTGTTGCTTGACATCAGTGATCTGAGTTGCAATTCCTGTGTGCAAACATGGAATGAAAATTTTGCTCCAGACTTGCACTGGAAGGATTGATGTCAGTTGGGCTTCTGCCTCAGCAGTATAAAGATAAATTATTCTTTTAAAAACACATACATATTCAGGACTCGTGAGCGTTCCTTTGAACTTCCACAGAAACTTGTTTCCACCACTTAGAAACTTGCCAAGATTTGAATAACTGTCTGGAGGTGTTATTTTTAAATTGTCCCCTCACATTTAGGTTTTTTGGTAGTTATGACTTCCGAGAGTTCAATACACAGGACATACTGTAAACTCTTGACATGCCTTAGCTTGTGGGAACTATCACAGAAAATATTCCAGAGGAAAGGACTTTTTCTCTTTTTTGACACTGAGAAGTGATGTCTTTGTCCCTTATTGTGAATAATCATGTTGAGCATTGGAGCAGGTAATCCTTGCTAGCTGGGGCCAGTTCTTGGCAAATGACTGAAGGACTGAATAAGCCATATATGCTTTTTCTTTGTCCTGGACCCGTTCCCAGTTTGCTTTGAGTAGATAGTAGAGATACTTGTTGCTATTGCTGCCCATGCTATTTACCTGTTTGATGGAGGGAAGTTTTAATCCCTTGTCTTGAAGCACTCTCTTTGGAGCATCATATAAAAGTGAGGGTGTAGCCTTTCCTTCACCATAATGGATCAGCAGTTTCTGATTCTCTGCACTCAGTGATGTGTGTCGGCCTCTGATCTGTCTTTGAAACTGGCCTTGGATTGAGCATGAGTTTGAAGCAGATGACCTCCGGAATTCTGTGTTTCCCATATATTTTAAGTTATGCTTGTCTGCACTCCTGTGTGGATGAGCTTTTAACTGAAACTTACGGGAGTGGGTGAAGGACACTTTTTGCAAAAGCAGCCTCACTAAAATACAATATCTGATTGGGGTCTTGGAAGCTTTTATCTTTTTCTCAGCAATAGCTGACTTAATGAGCTCCTGTCTGTTTGCTATTAGATGTTATATTTGCCAATTGTTATGCATCAATCCTATCTACACCTGTATAAGATCTACTTGAAAGCTTTCTGTGTGGTTCAGACTGCAGCAGCTGATGCTCCAGCTGTTCCCTTTCAGATGCATATTCATAAAGAAGAGGAAATGTGAAATCATCTAGCTTACAACTGATGAATAGTTTTACCAGCAACTCGGAAGTCTAAATCTCTACTACTGTATTTCATATCAAAGCACCATAAACTTATGGTTCAGACCTCATGCAAATGGATTCAGTTTATTTGGTTCATTGGGCACCCCAGGGTGATGCAGGGAGCTCCTGTTTAGATCAGGTAGCAGAAATGCCAAGGAAAATAATGACTAGCAGAGCAAGTCGAGTGATTTTATGTAAGGCCAACATGCTTGGCAGATTGCCTGGGGAGAAGCTGCACAGTTATATAACAGTACAGTGCTAATTCAAATTCTCTGCAGAACTATCTGGCTAGAGTCATTCTGGGACTTGAGTTTCTGTATTGTAAACAGTGCTGCTTTCCCCTGCCAAACATTTCTTTGTCTATTCAGAGGTGAGTCTAGAGCAATTCGTGACTGAGAATGTAAGGTAGTGCCAGTTGTCTTTGATTTTCGTCTCCTTTCTCTTGCTATCTTTTTACCTTGCAGCATTGGACTTTAGGCAGGCCTAACTAATGGAAGTGAAAACTTCAAGGCACAAGGCTTTTAATTCATCCTTTTGGCCCATCTTTTTCTGGGATTGGCGTTTTTGTTTTTTGTTTTTTGTTTTTTTAGGATGAGAGGAAATGGTTTAAAATTGGGTCAACGTTTTAATATATTTATTAAGCTCATTAAATTTGGTGACTATGATCATGATTTCATTTCACTTCAGGAATTGCCCAGCTGCATGTATCAACAAGTTTTCAACCTTCTTACTTCAGAGGATTGAAAAGTGAGAGTGAAATATTTATGCTGTCATTCCCTTGCAGGCAGCATCTATGAAGAACAGATAATGCTGTTGATTATGATCTTTCTGATAAAGTACAAATGTATGAAGAAAGAAGTGAAGTTAGGTCTCTTGCTTTTACTCTTCCATCCCTTTCTCAATCCTGGTCATGCCTGCATTGCCAAACTGGATATGACTTGGGCCTTCTGGTTTGGGAAAGTTGTGTGGCTAAAGCAGCAGCCATAGAGCCCTACACATAAAATTGCTCTGTAAGAGCTAAAGGTGTTGAGTATGAAAGCCCCTTAACTGCTGTAAATAGAAAGTAGGTACTGAGGGGGGCAGGTTAAGCCTGCTGCTGAATAGCAAGCTCTCCAGAAGGACATGCTGTTTTTGTCTAATGCATTTAAGATTCTGATGAGTCACCCCAGCTGGAATGTGCAGTCGTGACTGCTAAGTGACAAAGAACAAGTAGTTGGTGGATCTGTCTCCTTGGAGACACTCAGCCCTGGACTTTACAAAGCAAGTTCAACTCTGTTGCAGAAAAAGTATTTCAGAAGCTCCTATATCTTCTTCTGTCTAATGAGCTTGGTTTTGGAATCTGTGGGGAACATTCTCAACAGTGCTAATGACCTAGAAAGCAGATTCTGAAAAACTGGCAGTTCCAACAGCTGCACGTGAACTACCCATGGAGCCTGGTGTAATCTGGATTTTCTTGCATTGTTTTCACATGGTGAGTTCAGTTAAGAGGCCTGCTGTCTAGCAGATAGTGCACTGAAATCCCAGTGATTCCTGGACTACCTGTCTTTCACTGGTAGATACTTGGCTGTTTACTAGTGTTTGGCTGTTGGTTTAGTCCTTGTAAATATGTCCGCTGTTAGTAGTGCAAGGAATTTCTAAGATAAGTCTTTTTTAATGAGGTACTTCAGCAAGGTATTGTACAGAACTTGGAAGCTGCTGGGGAAGCTGTCCAAACAGTTTATGTTCTTCAGAGAAGTCCTAGCCCAGCGTGCCTTCTAAGGTATGAGGGAAGATGGGTGGAAATGGCTTTGGAAACCTGGGATGTAGAAATTGCAGAACTGCAGGAAAGCATTATTTGGTGATCTTCCTGCTTTAGACCTGATCATGAAGTCCAGTCCTGACAGTGATTCACAGCAGTACCTCTGTAGTTGGATTTTACTTAGGAAAGATGATGTAAACTTTTTGAATGCCCTCAAAACCAGATATTGCTGAAGTACCTGGCGAGACATAGGTTGTAGTACGGTTGCCACATTCAACTTCACTCTGGGGGAAAAAACACATTGCTAGGTAATTGTGAAAGGAAAAAGGATTTCTTTTTTTCATGTCTCTAACTCCTGAATTGCCAAATACGGAGTATGTCATATGTATGCCATACAGAGAATGACAAAAATATTCTTTGTTCATTAGAGTCAACTGTCACTGGATTCTCCATGAAACTTTAATTCAATTTCTGACTCTTTCAAAGAATGGAAATTATAACCTTGTGCCACATGACATACATGTGCCTGTAGTGCACTGAAGTTTTATGGTATAATGGCTTTTATTCAGTAGCGTATAATTCTGCTAATTTTCAAGTATATTATGTAGCTTAAACGATAATAGCTTCACAATTAATACTTACTGCTTTTGTACAGTTCTTTTGACTGACTGACAGAACAAGAAGCTTAACTTTTAACCCAAATACTATCTTTTTTTTTTTCCCCCACCTGTTTGTTTTTGTTTTAAGGTCAATTCTGGAAAAAGAAGGACCAAGGTCACTCTTCCGAGGGCTGGGTCCGAACTTGGTTGGAGTTGCACCATCAAGGTAAATAGTTAAACTACTTCTAAAACACACATTTAAGGTACCTACTACCCAAATGTTGCAGTGCATTTGTGATTCAAAAGAATAGGTCATGAAGTTATCCTGTCTGTAAACTGATATTTGTGCATGTATACTGCACAGTATACATACCAATACTTCTAAAAATCTGCTTTACACTTGCATAACACTGGAAGGTGCAGATTAACTAAGTGCAAGAGCCACTTGCCATGTGCTTGAGAAAACAAGAGAAAGTAGTGCAGAAAAAATCCATAGGATTAATATTTGTGTTTTTCTAATATGATCTGCTGCTTCCCTACAAATACATAAAAGCGCTTGCTAAACACTGAGTAGGGGCTAGATGCCAGGAGAGAGGAGTACCTACCTGGTCCTTGATTGCCTAAATTCTTCCCAAATAAAAAAACTGCAGCTGAGGGGAAAAGGCTTACATTTCTGCCACATAACCCCAAAGGGGGTGTGTGTATGTGTCCCCCTCCGTTTTTTTTTTTTTTTTAACAGCAGCAACAAAAGTAGCTACAAAGTTTGTTTGTATTTGGAAGTCTTACAGGCACCTAAATGGTTTCCGCATGTACCTATGACTGTCCCATTTTTGGCAGGGATGAAGATCTTTGTGCGTAGCAAATGTTAAAAGTTGTTAGCAACTGGGAAATTGGCAGATCTTCTCTGCCTGAGATTGAACCAGTTAAAAAGGAACTTGAAGAGTGGTGTACTCCCTCTCTGGCCTCTTGCCTACTAGGTAGGATGTTCCCCCCGGAAGTGGGGAATCCTGTTTCTGTACAGGTAATCTTGCAGCAGGGATCTGAATCCAAGACTACCTGCTTTTTCATGCAACTCACGCTGTCTTTTGTGTTCCTTCATATTCTTCCATAAGATTGGAATAAGGTACTTTATGGAAATTCTTAAATTGTAGCCATCCATATCCACCTTTTTCTAGAAGTTCACTTGAAGGAGCTGTGACCTGAATGTACTTGGTTCAGACAGCTTCTTACTCATCATATTGACTGTTGCAGATCAGCTGAGCTTCCTCTATTCCTGTGCATTATGTAGGGATTTGAGGTGTGTAAAACGTCTTCATTTCAGTCCAGGGTTGAGCATTTAAAGCACAAAGTGCTGCTAATGCAGTTACTGTGCTGAGCAAATATATGGCAAATATAGGCTCCAGGAGGGAAAGTGACATTCCCAAGTTCACAAAGTGTGTTTAAGGCCAGAGCTGGTGTACGTATCTAACGTAACTTGCTTTGTCTGCAAGACCATGTTGCCTCCCATCTCAAGACCTGGTGTGAAAGTAAAATATTTCTACCCTGTGAGTGTCAAGTCAGATAGTGGCACTGTAGTGTAAAGAGGAAAAAAAACCCCGTGTCCTTGTAGATGGAAGTAGTCATATGGAGGCCTCTTTGGAGAGAAAGCCTTGTTTTTGGCAGGTGGGGAGAAGAATAATAATGTGTCTAACTTGATGTTATGATTGTATTGCTTTTCTTTTTTTTTCTTCCCCTGCATAGAGCTGTCTATTTTGCATGCTACTCCAAAGCCAAAGAGCGATTTAATGGCATTTTTGTGCCCAACAGCAACATTGTGCACATCTGTTCTGCAGGTTCTGCAGGTATGTATTTGTTATTCATCTTCCAAATGGTCTGCAGCAATACCCCAGTGTCGAGCCCCTCACTAATAGCAGGCAATACATGTATTGGTATCTGTGTGGCTTTAAGATGCACCTTAATTCTTTCAAGTATTTATTCCAAGCTATTGTTGCTCCAAGACTTCTATCCCTCTCGACAGTTGCAAAATGAATAGAATGAATCATAAGGCCGGGACTGGACTTTCCGTCTGTCTGTACAGGACCTAGGCTAACACACCAGTCTTGGCTAACAGCTCTGGATAGTTGTGGTACATGAAGGAGTACAGAGGCCAGTATGTGGCACATTCCGAAAACGTACACTTAGCTGAGGCTGTATATGCCAGAAAACAGGAGTTTGCTAGCGCCTAACTTACCTTGTTTACAGAGTAACTGTTTTCCTGTTCAACACTGAAATATTTCTAGATTGTTGTTTACTAACTTGAGATGAATTTTTTTCCAACTGCAATGCTATGGTAATGTCTCTGTAAGAAAAAAACAATATTAGTAGACACCAACAAACATTTGATACTGTTTTAGGATGTTGTATTTTTCCTACCAGGGTTTGTTCTTGTAAGAAAAATACTGCAGAAGAGCTCCACTAGTTCAAACATCACTCATGAGAGGGATCATTAAAAATAATCTTTCCCAAACTAACCCCTTAATTATGGGTGGATTCTGTTAATGAGATGGCTCAATGGCACCACCTAGAGCCTTGGGGAAAACAAAAGACTAAGACGTGTGTGTTTTCCCCTCAGGTTGCTGTTTATCTATTATTCTAAAACCCAGTCAGCAGGGTATCTTGTCTATAGCAGTCTTTAGGAACATGAAGTATATATTAAAATAGGTGCAAAAAGGAAGAATCGTTTAAGAAATTTCAAGGCCATTGGTCGATGCCTCCTGAAGTTTAACATGAGATGGTTCTCTGGCAAGAGAGAGACTGTAACCTATGCACCTGCATGTCTCTTGAAATCTCTAGGTAGAGCTGGTAACTGGGACTGTCTCACAATGTATAAAGTTCATGTTTGCCATGGCAATACACTGGCCTGGATTCAGCTATACTTCTGGTTTTCTTTTCTCTTTTTCAGCCTTTATCACGAATTCCCTGATGAATCCTATATGGATGGTGAAAACCAGAATGCAACTGGAACGGAAGTAAGTAATTGATTGACGGAGATTGGATGCCACTGAGTGGCTAAGGGAGCCTCTGGAAAACTGAACTTTCATGTTTTTATTTGTGGCTCTTTGTACTTTGATAGATCTTGCCCAATTGTATCCCTGACTCTCAATTCCACCTTTTAAGCCACCATGCCTGTGCAGGTCAGAGTTAAGGTTCTGTATGTCCTACTTCAGTTTGATGCATAGTTACTATTGAGACGGACGTGGAAGTTGCTTTGAGTGCTGGCTTAGGTTCAGTTTCTGGTGTCACTGTAAATCTTAAATAAATTTGGGCATAGCATTAATTTTCTCTCAGATTCCTGCCTACAGAATCTTCTGTACTTCAGGGGTTGATGTTGAGGATAAGTATATCAAGAACTGAAATGCTTTGATGCAGCAATAATAGAAGCTATGATGATAATAGAGAATAATAGAGGTCAGAAGAGCTCATGTTGGAGGCTGAGCATGAGGTTGCAGTCTGTGTCCCATCTAGCAACATCACTTGTACTGATCCTAGGTTATACAGATGTGTGTGCTACTGCAGCAAACCAGGGTTACTGATACCCAGCTCGGTAGCTGTAAACAGAAAGGATGATGTTTTTAAATTGTGATGAAGCCATATTAGTTTCATAAAACATTCTAGAGGAAATAAGAATCTGTTGCAGTGGTTTAATGTTCTTTTGCTTCCTTCAGCATTGTATTAGTGTTAACCATACCTCCTGAAGGCAGAGAGGGAATTTGACAGTAATGTCTTTTAGTTGAGTGATTCACAGTCACTGGTGGATATTGAAGCAATGAGGGACTCTGCTAATAATGTGACTGCTTAAAATAGAAATTCCTTCCTGCAAGGACATTTTAAGTCACGTAAGAATCCTTTAAGGCATCACAACTTATACATAATTTATAAGACTTAATTCCAGCACTTCACAGGGTGGCACCTTTGAATTGAGTGTTGCCTCTTAAAATGAAAGATGATTTCTCATGTAGCAGACCTCTCTCTTGGCCTGCTGAAGATGGCTTTAAACGGAATTTCTAGTTTAACACAAAGCAGGGTTTCTTCAGTGCTTATTGTCTTTTAAAGCATTGGCGTGAACTGGGACAGAGTGATAGAACTTGAGCTGAAAGAATTATTGAGTATGTATTAGTGAATTAGTAAAGCCAAGTGTGCACTCTTAGCATGACAGTCCTGCTCTATGCAGCTTTCCTAGAAGGTTTTTGGAGTAAAACTTAGCAGAGAACCATTTCTGTAGTTACAAAAACTGCTGAAAGCCATGAGTGTTTTAATATTAATTATTTTTCTGGGCTCATTGTATGCTTTGTTCTGTTTGGTTTTTTTTAGAGTCAGGGGTTCAAAACCAATGAATGCTTTGCAGTGTGCTAGATATGTTTACCAGACAGAAGGTATCCGCGGCTTTTATAGGGGCCTGACTGCCTCCTATGCTGGGATTTCTGAGACCATTATCTGCTTTGCTATTTATGAAAGTTTAAAAAAGCATTTAAAGGAAGTCCAACTGCCCCCTTCTCCTAATGGGACCGAAAGGAACTCGACAAACCTCTTTGGACTGATGTTTGCTGCTGCTGTTTCCAAGGGCTGTGCCTCTTGTATTGCTTATCCACATGGTATGTTAACTTTTCCATTTATGATTGCAGTAGAACAGCTGTTGCCTGTAATCCAAGATGAATTGTGGTGTTTAAGGCTGTAAAATTCATTTGCATGGACAAATGGATGTTACTGTGACATGTGCATATGCATTGGCATTTTCAGTACTGGTCCCACCATTCCTAGGTAGCCACATAGTTCGTGAATGGAACTTCCTAGTTTAAAAACAACTCAAAAAATGTCCAGAAGAAGTTGAATGCTTAATGCTTCTGTTCTCACTGGCAGCCTCAGTGTACCCACAGCCTTTGGGATTCTGTGATCAAGTGGTGGGAAACACTTGTGGGCTGAGCAATGTTACTCTTTTTGGAGAGCCGTGAATGTTGTTATGGTTGTATAGGAAGAGCAATATTGATTACAAGAACATTAGTGAAGCATTTAGTTCTGTAGTAGCTTGAATGAGCACATAATCCATTTATTCCACATGCAAGGGAACTCATGTTTAACTTTGCTTCTTACCTGAAGGGCAATGTGTACAGGATTCCATGGCTGAAAGTACTGCAGGCAGTTGGTACAGGAATATTTTCATGCCACTGGATTTGCATACTCTTTCCTGGTAATGGCATGTTTCTCAAAGGGAAGGTTTAAGTCTTGTTAACTTTGGGCTCTGTTTTGCTTTTCTGCAGAGGTCATACGGACACGACTGCGTGAAGAAGGCACTAAATACAAGACTTTCATTCAGACAGCACGTCTGGTAGCATGTGAAGAAGGCTATCTCGCCTTCTACAGAGGACTCTTTGCCCAGCTCATCCGGCAGATACCAAACACAGCCATTGTGTTGTCCACCTATGAGTTAATTGTGTATCTGTTAGAAGACCATGCGAAGTAGCAGACCCAAGACTCCTGTTACAAAGTGTAGACCAATTTCTTCGTTGAACAAATAGTCCTTTGAGAGACTGGTGCTGGTGGCACTGCTGGTGGAAAAACTACGAGTCTGTGACCACCTGCTGGATATTTCGTTTTGGATTCATGCTTTCTGAAAGGTCTCAAGTCATTAATGTTAATAGTTTAATTATAACTTTTTTTTAACTTAATGATAATTAAACTGCTACTAAATTAAATTACACTATTTAATTTAAGTATATGTTTGTCCTTTTTCCTTAAGCACAGCCATATGTGGTCAAGGAATGTACCTCATACTATCAAGTTATCTCTTGGACTGATGTTCATTAAAACTGTATTAAAACAGGAGAGGAACTGGTTTGGAAATTTGAAACTCTGTCGTCTTATTACTGGAGTCATGTCACTTTTTAGGACTATAATAGCCTAATGCCCAAATAACTTTGAGAGTTCTTCTGGTTTATTCAAGGTGCGTCATTCATTGCTGTGTGAACATCCTGGAGTGTTCAAGTAGGACAGTTTTGTACTGTGTTTCTCTTTTGGTGGTATGCACACTAGAATCTCTTAGAAAAGCCACTTACACTGGCAGTATTGCTGGAATATGATTGTGGGAGGCTTCTAGTAAAAAAATTAGAGTACAGGGTGCACCTATGCATTTGGCACACAGGCTTATGCTACTGCCTGTAAACAGATCTGTCATGACTTGGCTTTTAGACCTTGCTTTTGTGAAGCACTGAGAGTGTAAGGACAGTCAGTGATTGTGGCCTGGCTGCCCTGTGGAAATTCCATGAGATGCAGGAACTTGGTCATGTATTCTGACATCAGCCTTTTACTACTCTGGGGATTTTTTGTGTTAGATTTTTCTTATACTTCAATGCTAGGGGTCTGGAGAGTGGAAGAGAAGATAAGATAGGTCCCAAACACTATAGACTATAAATGCAATTCTGGATTCTGCTTTACAATACTTGGGAATATGTCCCTCTTGATTTGATGTCCTTGTAGAGCAGTGCTTCTGATGGGAATGAGATACTACGTTCTCATAGACATGTCACTGGAGCGAACACCCAAAAAATCCACAGCCTGTGTAAATAGTTTCTTTATGTCATTACTTGATTTCTTATTGAAGGAAGTAAGGATTTGCCAGCTTAGTGCAGCCTGTTGAACAGTTCTCACATTTCCTATAGATAGGATATCTGCCTTCCCCTTCAAAGACAGTATCAAAGGGGAATTTTTCAACAGTAGTCACGATACAGTTCTTACCTTTCAGTTATAAATCAAATATCCTGCATACTTGAGATTAGTCTCTTCATAAGTACTATAGTATGCTCTTAATTTTAGTCTCTTTACCACTTGCATTGCAGCAGTACCTTGTGATTAAAGTATTGTATGTGAATAATTACTGGTAGTGCAGGATGAAATATTTCAGAACTCAAATGGGTAGATTTGTGTTTTGCTTTGGCCATACTATGCTCTCCTATTCATTAGTGTCATTTGCTTTGGCAGCTGAGACAAACACTACAGCATTTGAGCCCAGCTTCAGTCTTCCCTGCTGTTGAACTGAACAAGGAGCTTCTCATGATTTGAGCAGGTGTTGAGTTCTTGAGCATAAACAAGTGTTTATGGACGTCTTTTGACTTCAAGGAACGTATACAGCAGAGGTGGTGTTTGGACTTGGAAGGATCATGCAAAGCATTAAGAAACAGCCTAGTAGTGAGTAGGGCTGCCTTTTATAAGATAAAGTTTTCAGGCTAGTATTTTGTTGCAGAAATATAACGGGTTGATAACTGGATTCAAACCTTCATGTTTGTTCCCATTAGAGCCTAGCTGATGACTGGTACTTGAGGTCATATTTGACATCAGTGTGATGGAGGAGCATAGTGCAAAGAGGGTAGAATGTGTGTATATACCTCATTATGAGGCAAAACTGCAAAAATAACTGATTTCTATTATTTTTACTCAAAAGAACGTATCACATTTACCCCTAAGCTAAAATAGGAAACAGCTGAGTAACTAAAAACTGGCATAGCTTTTTTTATGGAGACGATGAGCAGCAAAAGCTTTAGTTTCTTTATAGGAGTCAAAACTGTCGCACAGTGCTGTTTCTATTTTTGAGAACTAGGACACTTGTGCTGCTACTTAGAATCGTTTTCTGAGATTTGCTTTCTTAAGTTAGTATTCCTCTGTACTTACAGTACCCTAGCTCACTTTTAAAATGTTAGTTAAATGTGTAGACTGCTGATATCTTTTGAGAATGAGGGGAGGGAACTCAAACCTTTTTGAAGAGTTTGGGACTAAGCAAGAGGAAGTGAACAAATTTTTGTTACGCCTAAATCTGATGGAAAATCAGAAATTCTGATGGATGTTTTTATTCTTTAAGCTTTGCTACCAACCCTGACAGAATTAGTCTTAATTTGGTAGGGGGTTAATAAGCTGTATTGGGAGTTAATAGAATTTCTGAATTAGTATGATTTATTCCTTTTGCCTTCCTCTCTCTAATAGAACTTTTAAAATTCACTAACCTTTGATTCCTTAACCCTGTAAACAGTTAACATTTTTAGGTGATGCTCTGTGAGCAATCCCACTGATGTCACTGAGTATGGAATAAGCCTATTACCAAGGGAAGAATTTGAAGTAGTGTTTTTTTTTTTTGAAGGGATATCTGAATTTAAAACTTTCTCTGGTAGTGAAAGAAAAACTAAAAGCATTTTTCACTGTTCATTCTACTTCTTCAACTTCCACAGGAAGTCAATTTCATGGAAGGTAGGTAAATTTGTTACTGGTTAGAGTTTCCTGGGCAGGTTTAGGCTTCATTACTAGACCCTTTGTAGCTTAATTATCAGTAAGGTGATGAAACTGTGGTCGTATCTGAAGTGACCACAAAGTTTCCATTAACTTTACCAGGACTGAGTCTGTTCCTATTCATAAATTAACAGTTAAATTGAAATTACAAACACACAGTTGTTACAATAGTATGACCTACTCACGTTGGCTATTTTAGCTTTGGAAGAATTTCTTAGGCATCTGAATAGGCCTCAGGTTCTTACGCTATTAAGACTTACTGCCTCCCTTTAGGTATCCATGGTTGCCGTGATCCCTCAAAATTGTGCATTTGCTGGTGGTTGTAATACATTGCTTTTATTGTGATTGTGCCCATCACCATGATTTATAGTTGTTTTGCAGAATTTCTTCATTAGCTTCTTTAAGGAGGAAACTTTTGGTAAACAATACACCTATGGTTGGACTGATACAACAGATATAGTTGATAGGGAGGGAATTCTGTAGAAAGGTAAGTCCTAAGGACTTGCCTAAGGGCTTGATGTGCCAAATGACTGGGTTCTTCCTCCTATCATTTAGTCTCATAAAACAATCCCTAAATAATTGCACTAAACAATGAAAGAGGGATGGGAAAATCATGTTCCCCTCGCATTTATCAAGAGGAAATAGTCACTGTTGTTCCATAGAACTAATTCCCATGGTTAAATCTGTGGAGATAGAAATGGAACAGTTAAGACCCCAACCACAGTTAAGATAAGCTTTAAAGTACAGCTTACTTCTAGTACAAATACTTGTCTCTGAAGAGCTTTTCCATTTGTGGGTTTTTTAAAAACATGATGTTGGCACAACTTGGTTGTCCTGAATTTTAAGCAGTTCTGTCTATTGTGCTGAGAGGTTCTTTTTTGTTTTAAGCAGGAAAAAGAGCTATGCAATTTGAGGCAAGGTCAGTCTAAAATTTTGCAGATGTCTTACCTCTTGCCTTCATGTAAAAGCAGGGCACAACTGTCAAGCTGCTAACTGCTTCCAGTTCTGTAAGAACAGTAAATCCCACCCATGTGTGCTGAGAGGGGCAGAGCATAAATAGGTGTTACTTTGCTTTCTAGGGGAGAGCTTCTGAACAAGTCTGACCTGGGAACTACTCCCATCAGAGACCTGAGGGCTTTCTGCAAAACTGTATTGTTTATCTATCTATCCATGAGAGGGAAAGGCTAGAGCAGCAGACTTCAACTTCTGGCTCACAGGTAACAAACTGCCCACAAAGCCCTGTATTTTAAATTCAAATTCCTGCTCCACTTGCCATACTGTCCCTTGGCTAAAGTGAAGATGTTACTTGCAGCACATGGTTTACTGGGCAAAGCTGATCAGGGACCACACAAGGGTGATAACCTGTGCTCTAAGATCAGTGGGGAGGGTAGTGTAACTGGGGATCTTCCATTTTCTCCAGACACCTAGGCAGTTTGTTAGGAAAGTACATCCTGGCAGAGAACCTATTCTCTTGGAACTGTCTCTTCTTCCTCTGCCCGTTTTGTTTTTGTACTTCTCCAAACAGCTGTCCTTTTTCCTCAAAACGTATGTTAAATTTAATTGCCAGTTCTCTGCCTCGTTGTAGGCCCCGTTGTTTCCAGTCTCCTTTGTGCAAGTGGTCCTCGACGGGGGCAATCCTCTTGGGTGTAGTTTTTAAAGGCCTTTCCCCAGGCTCAGGCCTGTAGCAGCCCAAGGCCCCAGCTGCCGCAGCCACCCTTCACCGCGGCTTCTCGGTCTCTCGCTCCGCCAGGGCCGGCACCGAGAAGGGCTGGAGCTGCTTTGTTAATCCGGACAGCTCTCGCGTCTAAATTTAGGAAAAGAGAGAAAAAAACCAAAGGCAAGCTGGTTGAACTCGGCGCCGG